ACCAGTTGTTGTCCTTGCTTGGCACCACCACCAAGTTACACCGAAAAGCGCTGGTTGCTTCCTGCGTTTTACATTTTTCAACAAAATCTTCTTTTTAATGCGTGATGATTCATGCTGTTTCTCGTCTGGAGCTCCAGTTAAAGTCGAAGTAAAGAGAATGAAATGAGATGGAGAGCAGAATAAGACGAAACGAATAATTGCTGCGCTGCTTAGGCGCCCCCTTGGATAATCTGCCTTCCTTATTAATGGACCAACCCTTCCTCGCCCACAATACGTAAAATAATCGCTGTTGAGGAGACCAAGGGCTGCATCTGCCTAGCGTTTCCTGGCACACGAACTTCTACTGCGCGCAGGTGTGGCGGCATCCGCGCCTTCCAGTGAGCTACCCATGGCATTCCTAGGATTACGGCATCACGCGTGGATCCAATATAGAAAGCACGAACCATGCTGATACGGCTCAACTCCGAATGAGTGGTGGCATTTAAGGGCAGTGCCTTGCTACTCCTGGCTTGATTCTGCCCATCGGCAAACCTGAGTCTTTAGGACTGCGCTAACAAGTGCACAAGCAGGCTCTACCTCTGCGTCTTCTTCTCGGATAACAGATCTACCTTACAGTTGGTGGCAAGCAAATTTAGCAATCGCCGACCACTAATGGTAGCTTGTTTTCGCAAAACATTGACCCACGGTAGGTGCCCCAAACTGCGGCTCTATCCTCTCTGCCTCCTTGACTTGGCTGCAGCCTGCATGGTGGAGGGGCAATCTGGTTTCTGGAATGTGCATTGTTCCTCGTCAAGGGGCGTGCATTCCCTGGGCCCAGTCCCATCGCTCAAATTCTGGATATTTTTGCATGTGCTGCCATTAGGGGAGTATATGACAGAATTTCGAAAAATATATATATGTGCGTTATTGGGGGGCTGTCTGCACTCTTAGGAAAGTGGTTTCCTCTTGGTTTCCTGTTCTCGCTCACCTTACACAATAATGTGGGGGATGCTGACACAAATCCGACACTCACAAGCTCTAGCTCCCGAAGAAGTTTTTCCTACAAAGATTGACAATTTGCTCTCTTTTCTTTTAAACCCCAAACCAGTCCACCATTTGTGGAAGCTTTACTACGTGGCTGTGAATTGGCTGACACGCTGCCTATCCGGTCATCCCCTGACACGACACTTGAAATCTATCTGAGATGTGTACCATTGATAAGCAGCTGTTCTTATACGTTGCTGTGTTTTCAAGGCTAAGGCTTATATTTCTTGAGACGCCAAACTATTGATAGATTCCTCTGCTTCAACCTTCTCAATTCTTTCGAGGCTTGCTGGTAAACTGTTGTAAGCATGCCCCAGTGAGTCAGCGCTTGCATGAAGGTTTGAGCTGTAGCAATCCTTGCAGGCTGATGAGTCCTCTTCATGAATCGAGCCACCAATTAAGTGTCCTTCCCTCAACTGATCTTTGCAAGGAGCGCTCGTTTCTCCCCATGTGGAGAGGTACAAAGCAAGGTACATTCCCAGCGGACGGTCGAATTGCTCAACTAGTTGTGCATTTTCAGTGATGCCTAATTTTCTAACCGAAGTAACCTCATTTGCGCATCCATATCCACTCTATTGATTAGCAAGTCATAACTTTTTGCGAACTGTGGAGCTACTGCATTTACATCGGCGTGCTGGCCGGCCTTTCCCACCTCAACAGGCATTGCGCCACCGTCAACTTCCATCGCCAAGGCTTCGTTTCGGATTGGTGCTAGAGAGTAACACGTGGCTGAGCTGCCAAACGACTTGATCGAAGAAACTGTGTAAGGCAAACCTCACAAGTCACTGCATGCGGGGAACAGCTGTATTGAGCCATGCACTGCTGACAACTGCAGTGCCCCATCTAGAATCTCCATGGGGAGACAAACTCCGAGCTCGATACAAACTTAATAAACAGGTATTGAGTGTTTCTAAAGATAACTCCGCCCTTCCCCTGCCCGCACCCTTCAGAAATTCCGACATTGGAGGAGTGATATGGCTACGGTGGGCGCTGCTGCGCCCCCTAAGCTCTCCTATCATTCACAGTACGTTGCACACACCACTAGAGCGCAGATACATCACATTGCGTCTGTTCGTATTGACTTAGCTGTAGTGGAAAACTGCCACAGATGCTAAATCCTACTGATTCGTTGTTGAACATGGCCGATGGATTTCTCTGTCCTTATATCTTATTTATAATTAGCTTAACATTTGCTTACTGCGAGTAAACGCAGCGTTATGTTGGTGTGCCCTAGATGGCATGCGCATTTTTTGGCGTGATTTCCCGGAGCGCTTCGATGATGCAGCCACATGTACCCTAGCTGTCCCTCACCCCTCGTGTCAAGCACTTTGAGAAATGTGATTAAGGGAAGACGCAAGCTCCTTTGAGAAGTACTCCATAGCTCTTTATCAAGTTTGTATTGAATCTGGAGCTGACTGTTCCCCAATGGAAACCGATGGCGCGTCACACTACCAGTACTCTGCAATGGATAGGCTATGCAAGCAGACAGACCAATGAGTGCTTCTGTACGAATTCTTTGTTGAATAGAAGTGCTACATTCAAAAGTGCTGAGGTGTAGGTCAGCCTCCTACATGGGCAGTTTCAGGCTCACTGCAAATTTGATAAAAACCATTGACGGTCTTTTCTCGAGCTTCCGCTGGCCCTTGCGCTAATCCCTCAAAATTTTCGACGTGGGAGTGGGAGACCGCTACTGTGCGTGTGGTTGCATCTTCGAAACACTTCATGGAGACCCAGCAGGTTGCACATACCGTCTAGGGAACCACCCCCCAGAGCAGTGCCTCGTGTTCTATCGAGCAGACAGACAGTTCTTTGCCTTAAATAAGATATACGAATAGGCAATCGTTTACGCGATGCACTACCAGTTCGTGCCTGCATACAACTAGCGCACTGGAAATTGCCCAAGCATATATCTTAGCCCCCTGCCTGCGTTTCTGCCTTTTGCTGGGCGAGCAGACCCTCCCTCCAGACACTCTTCCCTCGCATGGGAGATCTCGACACCAATTAAGAACGCTCTCCACCCCTGTAGGGAGGCGAGCGTCCTTGTTGCAACAACTGCAACTAGCCACAGGGGGGGCATATACATATATACACATATATGGGACCAAATCTCTTGCGTCTTGGGTGCCCTCAGTGCGGTCGCACGAACGGCTGTCTCTCACTTTGCCACCTTCCTGCTTCTGTAGCAAAAGAAAGGGCTCTTGGGGACTTATGAAGCTCTTCAGACATGCCGCGGAGTAGGCAGCAGCGCAAGTGCGTTGCTGCCTGTATGCGCGGCTTCCACAGCGGCTTGCGCGCCTCGGAAGCCCTCGCACAGCCGTAGCCTCACCCGCTGCTGCGTGTGTCTTTTGGAGAATTGCGGCAAAGATAGACTTTTAGCTCAGGCGTCATTATTAATGCTTAATTAGGGTCTGAAGCTTGTGATTTTCAGCCAAGTTGCGCTGCGGCTGGCCACAGCAGCAAACCCTCTTGCTTTTCTGGTAGCGGAGGGGCAGCTGTGCGCTGAGTGACTGCAGCACCGCCAACAACGGCAGGAGCAGCGACGGGGAGGGCAGCACAGGCGGCCTTCTCCTCTGCTCTGGCTTACATATATATATACCTGCTGCTTCTAGATCAGCAGCAAAAGACGGGGAGGCGCTTTAGGGTGCCCCTGAGTCGAGCTGTAGTGACAGCAGCCGTTGCTGCAGTTGCTGCTGCTGCTGTGGCGGCGGCGGCGCAGCAGCAGCAGCAGCAACTGCAGCAGGGCCTCTTCTGCTGCAGCAGTTCTATGTCCAGCTTTCTTCTGTCAGGAGGAGGATCCAGTTGCGTCTATTTCTTTCCTGAGCTGCTTTTGACAGCCGAGAGTTTGCAGCCGGGCGAAAGCGAGTGGTGCCCAGGACGCTTCCTGAGGGCAGAGGCTGCTACTGCAGCAGAAGAGGGAGCCCCCACCTCTTTTTAGTGGGCTCCATCCAGGTGTATGGACGCGTGAAGAGTCTCTGTGGCTCCCTCGACGCACCCGCGGAAGGGCACCGAGTCTCCTGTTCTCGTGCTGCTGTGGCTGCTCCTCCGATTATTCACTCGCTACGCCTGGCGCTTGTGGTGCTGTGGCGGGCAGTAGCAGTCTTGGACGTTTCCAGTTTGCTCTTGCAGCGGCGGCAACTGTACGTGCTCTCCAAAGCTAGCAACAACGAGAATCGCGCACCTGCTGCCCTCCCACTTTGTTGCATAGAGCTCGAGGAGACCACCCGCAGCAGCAGCAGGTTCCCACACCATCGAGGCTTTCTTTGACTCTTGTTGTAAATATATATTTCTCTCGGGGGGCACACTGCCTCCCCGAACTTTCTGGACCGCTTCTTCTACGTCTTCTTTGCGCAATTCTCTCTCTCTCTCTCTCTCTCTCTCTTTCCACGTCTTCGAGGGCTGTCTGCTGCCCGTGCGCGAGAGCAACACCCTCCGGCAGCAACAGCAGCAGTATGGCGTCGCTTGCGCCCAAGTGGTGTTTGGGGGGGGCTGTTTTGGGGAGTGCGTCAGCACCAGCAGCAGCCGATCGCACCGTAGCCGTGCTGCGACAGGCCCGTTTCCCATGCGTGTGCCCCCGATAGCTGTAGATACACCTCAGCACGTAGTCGCTTGTGTAGAAGAGGACGAGCGAGGGCTGTTCGTTGTTTTTCGCGGGCAGGTGGGAGCGTTCAGCGCAGGCGCGCAGCAGTCGCTCTGCAGCCTCTCGAGCAGCTCGCGCTGCACACCTGCAAAAAGCCGTTGGAGGAGTCTCTCAGCAACAGCTTTTGCTTGCAGAGGGCGCCTTCTAAGGGAGGACCTTCTGGGGGGAGGGAGGGGTTTGGCTGGCTTTCGTGTGTCTTTTGTACAGCGTTCGCGGGGAGGAGGTGTCGGAGGAGAGTGCTGCTCTCTCGTGGTGGGTGTTGCTTGCTCCCGCGGCACTAGGGGCCTCTCGAAGGGGTCGCATGCTGCTTTTTGCTGCTTTCTGAGCAGCAATTAGCAGCATGCAGCCCACTGCCGTTGCTGCTGCTGCGGCGGAAGAGCTGGCGGCACTCACGGCTCGAGGCAGTCGAGCCAGTTCTTTGAGCACGTGCTGTAGCTGCAGCACGCCTCGTTTCGCCAGCAGTTTCAGCAAGAGCAGCGGCAGTGGCGTTCTCCAAGCCTGCGCATCGTCTCCTCTGCTGCTCACTGGTTCGAGTTGCGCCGCTGCAATGTTTCCTTGCGGGCACGGCAGCGTCAGTTCGCCGCTGCATCAGGAGCATCTGCCACAGTTGAGGAGCTGTCTGCGCTGCCACTGCCACGCATCCGAAGGGGCTTGCGGTGCTTCCCCAGCAGCAGCAGCGAAAGCAGGAGGAGGAGCAGACTGTTCGTCGTGGTGTCGCTCCTCGATCCCAGAGATCTGCCGCTGTGGATATCGAGGCGCGTTGGCTGCAGCTGCAACAGCAGCACCGCCGACAGCAACGACAGGAGCAGCAACGACAGCAGCAGGCAACGGCGAAAAGTTTTCCTACGTAGCTGAAGGATACACGGCAGCAAGACACCTGGGTATGGTTGTCTTCATGCGCCACGGTGCAAGAGCTCCCAAAGTTCGTGTCTCTTCCACGGAGTCTTCGATGAGCACTGCTGCTGCTGCTGCTGCTCCTGTAGGCGATGACACAGCGGACGGGGGTGCTTCAGGGGGCAGCACGTTTGGCAGCAGCAGCAACAGCAGCAGCAGCAACAGCAGCAGCAGCGGTAGCAGCGAAGATGGAGGACAGGGGAGAGAGGGGGTTTCTGCAAGCCACGAAACTCTGGATGCGGGGGATCGCTGCAGCTGCTGTCTCGCAGCAGCAGCAGGCGCCGAGCAGAGCAGCAGCTGCAGCAGCAGCAGCAGCAGCAGCAGCCGCAGCAGCAGCAGCTGCAGCTGCAGGGGCGACTTGGAGAAGGGAGGCCTTACGGCAGCAACACTTAAGGCAGCAGACAGCGGCAGCGACAGCAACAAAGTCGACGAGCCGGCAGACGCTGTTTGGCCGTTTGGAGGCTCACCGGGATCTTTAACAATAGCTGGATGGAGGCAGTCGGTTGCAGTCGGCATGCAGCTGCAGCGTTCCTTGGCTCAGCTGCGCCGTTTTTGCTGCTGCGTGTGTGCTGCTGCATCGGCGGTTCCCTCCAGAAGTGCAGTTCCGACTGAGCCGGCTGCAGCAGCAGCAGCAGCAGCTGCTGCTGCTGCTGCTGCATCCAGGGAGGAGGATCTCCGGCGCGACGTTCGTGTGATGGTGTGCAGCACAGAGTCTATCCGGTGCATTCAAACTGCACAGGCAGTCATATCTGGGCTGCAGCTAGCTGGAAATAATGGGGGGGGGGGTCTGCATGTAGACACTGAGAGCTCCCTGTACACCGCAGCCGCGGGGTCTGCCGCCTCTTTGGCTCTGAAGGCGAAGAGTCCGCTCGTGAAGCTGCACAAGCGGAAGGCGCTGTGCTGCAGCAGCAGCTATGCGGCTGCATGCGCCTCTCTGGAGGGGGAGGCTGCACTGCTGCGGGAGCTGACAGGGTGGCAGAGCAAGGAAGGTCTTCGCGTCATGAAGAAGTTCGTTTCTCTCTATGGAGCCTATCTGTATCATGGCATACCGCTTCCTTTCTTGCATGGCGGGAGCACCTCGAACCTTTCGCCTCTGGCAGGCAGCAGCAGCAGCAGCAGCAGCAGCAGCAGCGTCAGCAGCAGTGCTAGCGGCATGGCGAGTCACACCTCCATTGCCACTGCCGCGAGCAACTGCAGCAGCACAAGAAGCAGCACTGCATGCAGCTCCCTTACCACTCCGCCAAGAGACTTCCCCCCCCTCCTCGGCAGTCTTCTACAGCCCGTCGGTGGTGGGCTGACGGCAGACTGTACGGATGCGCAGCATGAGCGATCTCCAGCGGTTGAAGTATGCGTTTCAGCAGCTCAAGATGCAGCAGCCCAAGATGCAGAAGTATGCGTTTCAGCAGCTCAAGATGCAGCAGCTAACGATGCAGCAGCTCAAGATGCAGAAGTATGCGTTTCAGCAGCTCAAGATGCAGCAGCTCAAGATGCAGCAGCTCAAGATGCAGCAGCTCAAGATGCAGCAGCTCAAGATGCAGCAGCTAACGATGCAGCAGCTAATGATGCAGCAGCTCAAGATGCAGCAGCTAATGATGCAGCAGCTCAAGATGCAGCAGCTAACGATGCAGCAGCTCAAGATGCAGCAGCTAACGATGCAGCAGCTCAAGATGCAGCAGCTCAAGATGCAGCAGCTAACGATGCAGCAGCCCAAGATGCAGCAGCTCAAGATGCAGCAGCTAAAGAACAAAGCGATGGGGAAACCGTCGAGATTACCCCCAAGGAGCTTCTGGACGCAATATTTAGAGGGGCTGATCTCGTAGCGCGTCTGCAATACGCAGAAGAAGAAGCGGGATGGAGAGCTGGCGGTCTGAGCCTCATTGAGATTGCTGCCCGTCTGGAGCGCATGGCGAACGGCAGTGCGGCTGCTGCTGCATGCAGCCCCCTTCCTCCCCCCCTCGCTGAGGGGGTTGGGGAGACTTCTGAGGCGGATGTCGAGGGGCTTTGTGTGTTCGTGACGCATCAGTCGGCTCTCCTCGCGCTACAGGCTGCCTTGGGGGTTGAAGCTGCCCACATCCAGATACCCCAGTTCGGCTGCTATCTGCAGGCAGACTTGTTGCTGCTTAAGCCTTTGAACGACGACAGTGGCGACGGCAGTAGCGCGGGGGAGGCGCATCAAAATAGTGCAGCAGCAGCTGAGGTGCCTGAGGTTCTGCCGGAGGGGGAGAGCAGCGGCAGACTTAGGGGGGGCTGCTGGAGGGAAGGGGGAAAGGAAACAGAAGCAGAAGCGGTGGCTTTGTCAGCAGCAGCAGCCTTCCAGCATAGCCAGCCATCGTCGGGGGTGCCTGTTGTTTTTGAGCAACAAGCTGCGTGGTTGAGCGGGGGTGATTGCTGTTGTTGCAAGGCGTGCGGTCTTGGCCGTACAGACACCCCAGCCGTTGGTTTTCCGAGTGTTGCATCAGGGGAAGAGACGTGTCTTGATGGGCCTGTTAATCAGGCGAAGGCATTTCCCTTGCCGATAGCGCATCCCTTGGTGTCTCTGCTGCCCTTTGAGCCAAAAGCGAAGAGGCAGCTCCATCCGAATGTTGTTGTGCGTTGGCTGGTGGACGGAGAGCAGCCGCTGGTGTTGCCGGAGAGCTTGCGCTGGAAAGGCTCGTCGAGGAGCAGCAAAAGCACTTCCTGCAACGTGGTGCTGCTCGATGATTTGTTGCGGTTTGTAGACACGCGGTGGGATCGCTTCGGAGCTCCCCTTCCCCCGGAACCCCTCCTGACTCACCGTGTTGCGCAGATGACGGAGGAGCTCGAGCAACAGCAGCAGAAGATGTGCGACTTTGCCGAGCAGCAGCTGCTCGCTGCGCAACACCCCCGCGTCCGGCGCTGCAAGCTTAAGCTGGCTGGCTCGTGCGCTGCGGCAGGAGGATTTATTTCTGCTGCGGCATCCTCTCAAAAATAAGGCGGGGGGGGCGGCACTGGCGAGTCGTTCGCAGAGACACGGGGTTATTTAGCGGCGCATGCAAGTGCGAAGAGACGGAGGAGGGAGAAGGGAGGGAAGGCTGGCGGTCCAGCACCAGCAGGTGTAAGAGGAAAACGCTGCTGTATCCTGTGTTTTCTCATCTCGTCATCCCTGTGTACATAGTAGTCTTCTCGTGTCTCAGCGGCTTCCCGTGAGATGACCTCCTGCTTCTTCTCCCGCGTCTCTTATTGCGTTTTGTATAGTTTTTGTGTCTTAAACTCCGTCCCCGACGTTGCCTGGGGTCCGAGGAGTCTGCCAAAGCTTGCCATCCATCCATGCATAGGGAAGTCGCTGCAGGCAGAGGGCACGAGTGGCGGCTGTAGCGGCAGGAGTGTCGGTAGTATATATAGGAGGATATAAATATATATGTATATAAATATATATACATATCCTCCTGAGGACCTCCTCTGTCCACGGCTTCCTAGCAGTCAGGCAGGCACGGGTAAGGGAAGGGAAGGGGCTGGACGAGGAGGTGCCTTCCGGAGCAGCAAGAAACATATGACCCAAGAAAAAGATGTGTCGGCAGGCACAACAGGAGCAGCAGCAACGACAGAAAAGAAGAAGAGTTCAATATAATCGCGTGCGGCTGCTGCTGCGCATGAGGGCTCGTGGAAGTGTTGGCGGTGTTCCCTACGGAACCGACGCACGCCTTGGGAAATGCAGCCATTTTCCAATGAGTATACCTCTAACAGGTCTGCCTGTTGAAAGGCTTTCTGAGCCGCTTAATTTTTCAGAGGTGTCCGCAGTGGTTCACACGCATCCCCCTGCCCCCCCGCATAGAGCTAGGGTCCTTTAACAGGGGCAGAGACGCGAGTAACAGGGAGTGTAGAGGCTTATTAGGCGGAGGCTTAGGCGAAAGGAAGTTAGAAACGAGCTACTTACGGAGCTGCCAGCACTTTCTTAAAATAACCATTTATTAGCTTGCAGACAGAAATAGGGGAAGGCGCAACAGTATGGAAGCAGAGGCAGCCACAGAAACAGGCCAGGCAGCTACAGAAAGCGGAGATCAGAAAATGGAGGCGTAGGGAGGTTGCTACACAGCCATAGAGCCATCAGGAAGTGTGAAGAATGCTTCCCTAAGGGGGGGGGAAGATCTAAGGAGGCACTGTTGTTTCACCATATATGTTCTGTAATGGTGGACTTGATGCAGTACGAACTGGAACGTACAGCAGGCTTAGCTAATACTTCAACTATTTTTAAACATGAACTCGTAAAGAATTGTCTAAGTGCCTTGTCTGGACTTGTTTCCTATTTATTGCAACGGGCTGCCAGCTCGAGACGAGAGAATGCAATTTCGCGAAATACGGGGGTGTGATAGAGATGATACATGCACCTAGCTGTGAATTCTACGGAATTTTGAGAGTGCGCAGCTACGTGTATCCTAGCTGTCTCATCCCCCCATGTCGAAAGCTCTGAAGAGCGTGGGTAGAGCAATGCGGGAGTTCTTATAAAACACACTCGAAAGCTGTTTATCAAGCTTGTATTGAGTCTGGAGTTATGCGTCGCTCTACTGAAACCCTAGATAGGGAAGAAAGTTGCTAGCAGTGCAGGGCTTAATGCAGCTATCCCCCGCACATCCATTGGCTGTGGATGTAGTGATATGCGAGATTTACCTAACACAGTTGTCTGACTTCTATGAAGTCATCTGATAATCCAATCATCTGGTTTCCCGTAGCAGCAATTCGAAATTAAGCCTTTGCGATGGACGTTGACGGTGGCTTAATACCTGTTAAAGTGGCAGAGGCCGGCTTGCAAACAGACTTGAACGCACTACCTCTACAGTTTGTAGAAAGGCATGACATGCTAGACAATTAAAAGATTATGGATGCATCAGTGACTTGTAGTGACAAAACAACATGACGGTCACTATTACTCGATCAGCCAGTTGGATATGTATTAACACGTTAGTTGAGGGAGAAATACTTCGTTGGTGACTCGATTCAGGTCGAGGACTCATTTGCCTGCAAGGATTACTACAGCCCAAGCCTTTATACAAACTCTGGCTCGTTGGTTCATGCCGACAGCAGTTTACCCGCAAGTCTTGAAAGAAATGAGAAGACTGAAGCAGAGGAATCCACCAGTAGATCGATATATCGAGAAGATGAACCTTTGGCTTGCAAACGCCACAACGCATGAGAAGAATTGCTTCCTTACCCGTTTATCCGAGATTTAGCGAAGTGTCGTGTCAGATCGTGACAGGATACGCAGTGACTCAAACAGTCAAGACATGACCTTGCTCTCTTGTCAACACCCATGTGGAACAGAGGAGCTTAATGGACTTGCAAGTTAGTAGCGAGATTTCTTCCCGGAGTTAATCGGATCGCTGCTCTCTTTACTGGGCTACATAAAAGAGGACAGTCTATGACTTGGGTAGAGGAGGCTGGTGCCGCAGCAAGGATGCGTATCAACCGATTTAGAGGTCCTCCGGTACTCACGCTGCCCGATGACGAGCGGCATTTCTTCCTGATAATAGATGCCACTGACACGGCAGTAGAAGCCTTGTTCTCCCCCAACAGGCCGCTGTTTTTTCAGAGCATCGAACTCCTGCTTGTAATCTTCATCGCTTTAGCTAAGATAAGCAGCGGGATCCAGTGCGGGAAAAGATCTCTATGTGTCGTGATGGGGTGTGGAAAAGTGTCGACACTATTTACATGGGCGCGCCATTTTACTATTTAGCTCTACACGAAATCGGTAGTTTACTTTTCCAAGAGTTTCAGGATTTCGATAAGCGTAGAATTCTTGCTGGATTAGGCACTTCCTCTGGTACGACCTTGCAGTGAAGTACCTTGAGGGCATCACCAATGTGGTCGCCGATGCACTGTCCCGACACCCCAGCTATTCATTATTGTGCAGTGCAAGCGCTCTTGCTTTTGACAGGTTACGGAGCCTATCAAAATTCCTGGAGTCTTGTGCTTTTGACAGCCATGCGCCTGCACTAATTGCCAAACTCGAGAATGACCAGAAGACGAAGCAATACCACGTTGAGATTGCCCTGATTGTGCTCAGAACAAAGTGTGGATTTCTTCTCTAATTAACTTTGCCTCCGTCCCTGGATGCGCTTGCGCGGAGCACATGACATGTTACCTCGGACCAGGATAGGATTCAGCCCATAGT